TGGGGACACCCGCCTCTGATGGCGGCGTGGTGATCCTAATCTGCAGGAGCCTTTAATGTCACCGGGATAGGCCCCGCCGCTCTGGAGGACGGAGCAGAAAGCGTGCCCCGTCCCTTTGTTGGTGGGATTTGTTTTCGTTCTGGGTTTTTTTGCATGTTCACCTTTGCTCCTTGCGGTTGTGGTTTGTGTAACAACTGGGGATTGCTTCCCATCCACGCGCCCCCCCCCCCACCACCCCACCCCTCCGGCTCCGAGTGTGGAGGAAACCAGAAGCATCACGTACTGTATGTCTGATCACATGACGTTAGCCTAGCACTGTCAGGCCTGATCCTGAATCACCTGATCCCAAACTCTGCATGTTCAAGCCCCCACTTGTCCCTAACCTTACAGAGAGCCTAAAAGGGATTCTAATACTCAAATTCTTCTGAGGGACTGAAAGATACATCCTGCCTATCATGTATATTTTCATATTTTATTACTTTCAATCCTACATAGTTGCTACTTAATATGACAGAAAACAAAACATATATATTATTATTACAAGTTATAAAATCATATATTTTCTCCAAAGTTCCTGCAAATGCAAAGCATTTAAATATTTATTGAAACAAAAAAAGAAGGCATCTGATTAACAAACATCCCCTCTGCACTGCTCGATCTTTTACAGCCGGTTTATACAACAGTGTTTAGATCAATTTTTGTACACATCTTCATACAATTTTCCTCTTTTTGTCTGCATCAGCTCTCAGTCTTCAAAAAGAAGCGCGATATTACTCGTGTCAAGTAAATTCACCTTGAAATCTCAAAGGGACTAAACTCCATACTATAAAAATAAAAAATCCCTGATGTTTCTATATGAGGAGTCTTTATTTGGTGCATCTACAGCCGACTGCACTCATCCTCTACACTACTAAACAGTTAATTACATCAGGCCTCTATTGTGCCAACCTTAACCACTAAAAGGTCCTTGATGAGCAAATAACCGCTGGACCTTTTCTGCCTTTTTTTTTCGTGATAACTGATTTATTCCTGCACTGATGTTTGGTCCCAAAGTGAAACTTAACATTTAGCGTCTGCTGTATTCACCCAAGTGCATTTTTTCCCATTGATGGGAGACACGTTGTTTAACATTTGTGGCATTTATTGCCAACACAGCTCATAGAAATTCTATCAGCGGGATAATATTTTAGTTAGCTGCAATTATATCTATACTAATGGTCCTCCTCATTATTTTAGAATGGGGGATGGAGAAAGAGAATTGCCTGATTATGAAAAGCATGTTTCATGCTGTATATGATTTATTAGACAAAACAAACATGCCTGCTTGAGTTTTTGTGTAAATGTCAGCATTCTTAAACTGTGTACGTACGGTTTTCCGGGCTGAATTCAGTATCTGGCTGTTCTCTAAGCGGAACATCTCTTCATGCACTTTTCAAATGATTCACCCTTTGCACTGAGGTTTGTATTGTATATGTCAAAATATGGCAAATGAGGAAAGAGTTATTACCTGAGTGCATACAATTGTATTTCTTATTAATTTAGCAGAACGGTATGTCCTTCAGAAATGGATTGAAACAGCAAAACACTCAGTGTTGAGCCCAAATAAGTCAGGGTCTCTTCCACATCAGGAACCAGTTGTCAGTCCAAGTGTTGAGCAATTGCACTTTGAAAGAAAGTGCACTAGCCTAATAAAAGTACACACTGAGAATCCCTGAATGGAAAACTTGGTAATGTTTTTTATTTGTTTATAATTAATTTGTTTACAATGTTTGCTAGAAATCCAGAATAAACACAAGACACTGGTGAGTGGAGGAATGGTGGCCAGAGACCCTGCACTCATCTAAAATCAATGGGCCTCCATGCAACAGCAGTAACAAACAGCTTGACAAGCATTTACACAGGCAACAAGTTTGTGAGTCGATAATCATGGCAGTTCAAATCTCAGGATGCAACGTCTTTCCAGAGAAAAAGCTCCCGGGCTGTTGGATCGGGAGTCTTTACCGGAAGGCTCCGGATGTATGTGATTAATGTCGTCCCACTGCTTTTCATTTTAAGGCCAGCAGGAGCTGAGTGTGTCTGAAACGGCTCATAGCATCGTGGGAACCGTGTGCGGCCGGCTACGTGCGCTGTCTCCAGTCGCCTCCAAAACAAACAGCCAAGCGTTTTTCAGAAATGGACGCGATAGTCATTAATCAAGATCCCGGGCAGGCCCTGAACTCTCTAAACATGGAATCCACCTGAGAGACAAGGTAACTCATGTCCTCCGCTGCCGTGGATCTGCAGGCCTGCGCACACACACACGGCTCACCTGTCCGTCACAGCAGCGTCTCGCAGGGAGCCACCAGCCAAGCCGCGGCCGGCCGGGAAATGTTACCTAAAGGTCAGCCGTATATAAGCCAATGGGCTGGTGGTTTGAGGACTGTTTTCATACTGACTTTACAGAAAATGCATCAGGCACGAGGCGGCCAAACGGGATTTTTTTACACACTGATTCATGTCTCGATGGTGAGAGAAGATGGTGTGCTGGCCACTGGAGCTTATTCTGCTCATAGCCAGTCCGGCTCCTGTATCCCCACATAACCAAAGTCTGCCACATAGAATCACCGGCAGAAGGCAAAAGTTAAC